AGTTGAGAGCGAGGAGGAGCGCGCCGGGGGCGGAGACGAGGAAGTGGGTGCCGCCGTGGGGCGCGCCGTCCTCTCCATCCCCGCCCGCCAGCAGCGGAGCGGGAGCCGGCGCGGGACGCAGGCGAGCCTGAACCGAGCCTGAGCCGTGGCAGAGCCACACTCCGGGGCCGCAGCTCCAGGTAACTTGGCCGCCGCCTCCCCACGGGGCCTGGGCTCGGGGTGGGGTCCCAGGCGGGCGCTGGCGGGCCGCCCCGCTGGCTGCCCCAGGTTCCCCGCAGCCGTCGTGCCCCTGACCCCGGGTTCCAGCCCTGGCCTCGCCATTCGCTGGCCGTGCGTGACCTTGGGCTAGTCTCTCTGCTCTCGAGCCTCAGTTTCCTTCTCTGTAACCCGCGGGGGTCCTGCCCCAGCCAAGGGGGCGCTACCAGCACAGGCTACAGCCCAGGTCCACGGCTGTGCTCCGGGCGCAGGGTCGGGTGTGTGTCCCCTCTGCCCACGTGGGGATGGATTTGTAAAGTCCACTTGCGCGTTAACAGTCCCTGGTTTGTCGCCGGGTCTGGATGGACGCATTGGAGCACGAGCGACTTTCTGCTTAAGCAAAGACAGCAGAGGGCGGGGCGGGCGGGGAGGGGTCCCTAGCTCCTTAGGGAGCCTTGGTCCTCCTGGGCTTCTGCCCAGGTGCCTGAGAGCGCTGACAGACAGCGCTCAGTGAGGCTCAGGCAGGAAGGAGTCCTCCAGCAGTGTCTGGAGATCCATCAGCCTGGAGAAAGCCGGCAAGTGCCCTGGGCTAGGAATCCCAGTTCTGCTTACACAGTGCCGTTGACCTTGAGCCTGTGAACCTCAGTCTCTCCACTGCCCTCCCCGCAGCACCACGAAAGAGGAATGCTTATGCCAGCTTTCACTGGGCTGTGAGGATATGGAGGTGGGGCAGGAAAGTACCCGCCCGCCGCCTGTGGTGAGGGCCTGTGGTGTCCCCACCATGGCAGCTGTCATCCCCTAACTTGAAAGCTCAGAGACCAGGCGCCCTTTGCCTTACTGGAACTCATCTGTCATTGCCAGGTCTGCTCTGGTCTCCTCTGAAAGAGATGGTCAGTGGCCCTGCTGGGCCCAGGGAATTGGGGGGCGGGGGGAGGGGGGAGTCGCAGGAGCCCCACTGCGCCCCCGCCCCCAACCCGGACACACACCCTGACGGTTCTCTAAGACGAAATCGGTGAGATGACATTTTAAGTCCTGTAGAGATTCCTGGCTCTCTCTCTTGGACCCTCAGTTTTCTGGTTTGTAATAGGGACTTAAGAATGCCTGCCTACTGATGAGTTCCCTGTGGATTATGAAAGGTAGTTAGATACATTTATTAACATCTCTGACCCTGAGATACCACGGGAACTGAACAGAATGAGAAAGTAACATTTCTCCGCCACCTGCCCTGGGAAGGTCTGGGGCCCCGCGTGTACTGGCAGCGACCACAGTCATTCAATCCTGGGAAGCCGGTGCCATTAAACCCCATTTACAGATGAGGAAAGCAAGGCTCCCACGGGCTCCATGATCTCCTCAGGGTCACACTGATAGGAAGTGCCTGTGCTGGGGTTGGCCCCACGTCTGCCTGGCTCCAGGCTGCTTCCCAAAGGACCACGCTGGCCCCAAACATGACTGTGAAAGGAGTCCAGCCCGGGGCTTGGCACCAGGCAGCTGCCAAGCAAATCAGCATGGGCGTCTTGTCCCACGTGTAATAGGAAGAACTGCTACATCATCACAGGAGAAAGTGTGGAGGCTGGTAGTGGGGTCGGGGTGCCCCGGGGATCTGCAGGGAAGGGAGGTCACTACTCAACGCCACGCAGGGAGCCGGTCAGGCTGGCTCGCCCACTCCGCCCACTTCTCTTCCTCTCTTCCTCTACCACCTCGTCCCCGTTGACCCCGTCTCCATAACCTTGGCCTAGGCTGCTGCTTCTGGCTCCACAGGCACTTTTAGTTCTCCATTCACTGATGACTAACTGAACTGACCCTCCCGCATGAGGCATCTGAGGGAAAAATAAGGCCAGCTGTGGTCCATTTCCACCAACACCCCAGAGAAGAGGAAATGGGATTAGGACCCAATCCCCAGGATTTAGCTCAGCCATGGGGAGGACATCCTTGCTGATGGGAAAATGGGTGTCTCTGAAGGCTAGAGAGGTTCCTTTGCCAAAAGTGTTTTTAAAGAAGAAGAGAACATCCAAACAAAATGATGGGAATATGAATAAAGGCCCTTTCAAATGCAAACACATTCATCAACAACCAGAGAGTGCCTAAATGTCCAACAATAGGGGATCAATTAAGTAAATTATGAGACAGCCGTGTGGCCACTAAAAATGGACAGCATTTAATGAATGGGGACATGCTTATGCACACGCATCTACATGGGCATGGTCACAAATTTGTGACAAGCACTTAGAAAAAAAGATGAAGAAAATAGCCAAAGGGTGTTAACAATGTTTGCCGGTGGGTGGCAGCCTGATGGGAGATTGGTTCCCTGACTATAATTTCAGAACTTTCCAGATTTTATGCAGTGAGCATATACTTTAATAATTAGCAGACGCAGAACTGTCTGGCTCCTGGTGACAATATACCCCCACCCACTCCCACCTCCTCCTGGCCAGCACCCAAGACAGGGCTGACACATGGACACTTGGCAGTGACAGGGCCACCTCTGTTGAGGCGTGGCCAGCCCCTTAGAAGGAAGAGGAACACTAAATTATTAATACCAATACTATCTGGTACCTGTTGTGTTCTTACTATGTGTTCACGATAACCCTACGAGGTAGGTGCTATCAATATCCCATTTTAGAGAGAAGAAACCAAAAGTCAGAAACATCCAGCCAGTTGCCTGGTGTCACCCATGAGTCAATCCCAGGCCATCTAAATCCAGAGCCTACACCTCTAACCAGAGTCAACGAGCTAACATTTAAGCACCTACTGCAGAAACCCCGGGGGGAGCCATGCACCTCTGCACTATACAGGGAAAGGCAGGGTTCAGCAGTGACCCCCAAAGTGCCAGGCTTTGTGCTGGATGCTGGGACCCAGAGGTACAAAGGTGCCATCACTACAGAGGGGTGGGGGAGAGTGGAGTGGAAACAGTGTCCTCAGGACTTTGACAGGGGTGTTGTTTAGGAAACTGGGACTTGAGAGGTTGAAGCGTGAAGGCTCCTCAGAAGAGATGATGCCGGAAATGCTTCTAGAAGGATCAGCAGGAACTCAAGAGGTGAGCAAGGGAGGTGAGAGGAGTGGCTTTCAATGGGGGACAGTTTTGCCCCCCAGGACATGTGTCAATGTCTGGAGGTATTTTTGATCGTCACAACTGAAGGGGGGTTGATGACATCTAGTGGGTAGAGTCCAGGGATGTTATTAAACATCCCACAGTGCACAGCACAGCCCCCCACAACACAGCATTGTACTGCCAACATGTCAGCAGCGCTGAGGCTGAGAAATCCGGGGACGGAGGGAGGGGCGTTCCTGAACAGGGAGGGGCCTGAGCAAGGCAGCCAGGTATTTCCAAGGTGGCTCCCGTGCGCTGGGCACGCTGAGCCTGTGATTGCATTACAGGCTGCCCGGCCTCCTTGCTGCCACTCTGTCCCCAGCAGCAACCAGAGAGGTCTCTCTCTTTTTTTAAAACATAAAAGCCTTATAGAGATATACGTCACATGCCATCAAATTCACCCATTTACAGTGTACACGTCAATTGCTTTTAGTGTTGTGCCACCATCACCACTAATAATTCCAGAATGTTTTCATCACCCCCAAAAGAAACTGTACACACTGGCTGTCAACCCCTTATTCACCCCTGACTCCCAGACCCAAGGCTAGGAACCACAGATGTACTTTCTGACTCTACAGATGTGCCTGTTCCAGACATTTCATATCAATGGAATTGTACAATATTTGTGGAATTGTGGCCTTTTGTGACTGGCTTATTCATTTAGCATAATGTTTTCAAGGTTCGTCCATAGTGTAGCGCATGTCAGGACTTCATTCCTTGTTAACGGCCAAAGCATATTCCTTCGAGCATTCATCCATTCATCAGGTGCCGGGCGTTGGGGTTCTTCCCACCCTTCTGGCGACTGTGAACGTGGGGGTACAGGTTGTTGCGAGGACGTGTATGTTCATTTCTCCTGGGCATGTACAAGGAGTGGAGTCACTGGGTCACGGAACACTGTGTTTAACCTTCTGAGGGGCCGCCAGGCTGTTTGCCGAAGGAGCTGTCTGGACCAGCCTCAGCCAGGCCTCCCTGTCCTCCATCGCAATGGCCACCAGCCCCCAGGCCCTTTCTGGCACATCTTAAAGCTTTTTTTAACGACCTGATAAGCGTTGAAGAACTGGGCCCCAGACCTGACTACCCCTTTCATCACTTGCCAGACACTGCCCCTCTCTGGGCCCGGCTGTCCCACCTGGAAACCAGACAGGGACATCCTGGCTGATCTCTCAGGACCTTGCCAACTTTGCCCTTCTTTGATGAGACAGCACTGCCAGGAGGGCGTGGGCCTGGCACCGTGGCAGTCAGAGGAAAGTGGCTAGAGCCAAGTTGGTCACGGATCAGAGCAGGCAGAGTGGCCAATTATTGCCAGCCCCGTGGGGCCAGCCTCCAGGAGCACACAGCTGCTTTGCCCTGGTGGCCAGCCTCCGGGAGCAGCAAGCGTGGGGCTGGCTGCCCTGGGGGTCCCAAGCTGGGTCTGGGTGGTCTTTAACCCCTCTCTCTCCAGCACAGGCCGCTCTGCCTTTTGGACAGGAAGAGTGTTAGGCTGGGCACTTCAGGCAGTGGGACCTACAAGAAATTTAATAACACTGGTTGTGTTTTCATGGCATGTGTTTTCAGGGTGACCTATATGAGCAAAAGGAGTCCTCGTGGTTATTGTCATGATAAAGCAATTCTTTTTGCAAGGAATTCAATCACTTTAAAGGAAAACGTTAAGTAAAAAACATAGAATTGGTATTTTATGGGTTTGGCAAAAATCGTGGCGCGGCACATGCGGGAATGAGGCTTGGGAAGCATGGGAGGCGTGGCGCAGGCAAGCTGCCGGGAGACGGAAACCAAGAGGGCTCTTCCCAACTCTCACAGCTGTGTGGCCTCCGCCTAGATGCTCGACCTCTCTGTGCCACATTTGCAAAACGGGGAAATAGTGGGTGTCTTGGCTGCTCCACAGAGTTCTCCTGAGGACTCAGAATAAGCTAATGGGCGTGTGGAGGGGCCATGGATGTGGGAGAGGCCAGGAGGCTTACATAAGATAACCAGCACGTACAAATGTTCCTGGCAAGTGTTAGCTGTTTGCTGCTAATATCGTTAAGGTGATAAGGTGACCCAGCAGCTGCAGGACTTTTGCCTGTAAGAGCAAGCTCTACCTGGCTGGAAGGGCAAAACTTTCCTGGAGTGAGGTGTCGTGGGAAAGAACAGAGGAAGGAAGGTATGGTGTTGGCGGGGTAGTTGGGTGCCCAGGGCGTGTGGCTGTGGCCGTGGCGATGGTGGTGACAGTGACGGTGACAGTGAGGGGTACAGTGGAGGGCCCAGAACAAGGGACCTAGACTTGCTCTCTGGAGCCTCAGAGCTTTTCAGGAGCACAAAAATCTCTGCAATCTCTCCCTCTCTCTCTCTCTCTCTCTCTCTCACACACACACACACACACACGTACCAGATCTAAACTACATGAAAATCCCAAAATTGCAAGCAGTGAATGTTTAATTGGAAATCTGCACATGTAACACTATGACAGCTAGTAAATGGCAGCTTATTATACTAAATAGTAAATAGCTACATACAATTTTCTGTGGAATGCGCACATATTACAATGTATTTGTTACACCATAGGGTAAGGCCTCCAAAAGAAAAAGTGTGTAGGGCTCTGTAACATCTTTAAATGGCTGTGACTGATTGACAAATACTTTGTCCGATAGTAAGCCTCCCATCACTGGAGGTATGCAAGGAGAGCGGGGATGCCTCCCTGGAATGCTGTAGAAGGGGATCCTGGACACCAGGTGACCACTGAGTTCTGTTTCTACCCAGGGCTCCCCAATTTTATTGTTTCAGGGGCTCACGACTCCTTCTCTCCCGCCCGCTCCACACACACACACATAGTTGCTGGAAGAAGCCTTTGAGAGTCCAAGCGCATCTCCTCACCTGCCCGCGGGTGGCAGAGATTTGGCTCTCCCAGCAAACACTGGCAATCTAGGGTCTCACCTGCCCCAGGAGCACCGAGGCAGAATTTTCATTTGGCCCCATCTAACCCGTGCCCAGAAAACTCCCTCCCCAGGCCATTCCCACACTGGCCAACTCACTGCTGGCGGTGGACTTGGGCCAAGTCACCAAATACCCTAGCCCTCAATTTCCTCATCTATAAAATGGAGACGAGGAGTGGTGTCCACGTACTAGGGCTGCGGCAGATAGTAAATGGGGTGAAGTCAGCAAAGTACTTAGAACATCGCTTGGCACTTTCCAAATGCAGGACAAATGGAACATTACATCGTTATGATGGTCGTTTTCGATATGCATTTAGCCGATCCAGTATTAACCGAGCCCCCACGGTGCTCACATGCCAGTAGGGACAGAAAAATAATGAACGAACAGGGAAGCAAGAAAAACGCCAGGGAAAAAAGTGCTCCCCAGAAGGCCCTTATGGAGGGATGTGACAGAGGGAGAAGGAACTGCTCTGGGGTCCAGGAAACCCCTCTGCAGAGCCATTTGTGCCATGATACAAATGTCTGCATCAGCGGCAGGTCCCAGGCAGAGCTCCGGGGCGGGGAGCCAGCGTGTCTGAGCCACTGGAGCGAGGTTGGTGTGGCCAGGGACCCACTGCGGCTTGGGGGGGAAGTAGGACATCAGAGAGGAGGGGTGCAGATCCCCGGGGGGGGCTTCGTGAGCCAAGGGGAAGGTGTAATGGAACAGCATGGGCCATATAGAAGTGGGGGGGGCACGTCCGTGATTCCAGGGAGAGGCAGGGAGGCCAGTGGAGAGTGGTCACAGAAGTCCAGACTTGGACCAGGACCAGGATGGCAACAGCGGCCAAGGAAAGCACCACACCCAAGGTAGATCTATTTCAGAGCAGGAAGCAGCCAGCCTCGCTGGTGGGCTGGATGAGGAGATGAGAAGATAGGAGGCAAGGTTGATGCCAAGGACGTGCCTGAGTGCCCAGATGGAGGAACGGGGGGCAGGGGTGAGAAGACAGCCAGGGGTCCTCCCTGCCCCCACACTTCCACTTGCCCTGCACTTTGTGTTCACAATACCTGGAACAGGCAAACTGTGGAGCCACAGAGCAGATTGGGATTGCCAGGGAGCATGGAAGAGGGTGAAGTGACAGCTTCACGGGTGTGGGGGTGCCTTTCGGGGGATGAAAATGTTTGGGGACCAGACAGAGGCGGTGGTTGCACAACCCTGTGAATGTGTTAAATGCCGCTGAGTTGTTCACTTTAAAGTGGTTAATGTTTTGAGTTTCACCTCAGCTAAAAAAAAAACCAGAGAAAAGACTTTCTTAGACCATCAACAACTAAGGGAATTTGTTGTCATCAGATGTATGTAATCGGGTGGGATGGGTGGCTGCATACACTCAGAGACAATGGAACCGGGCCTGCTTCCAAGCCCCGCCTACCGCTTTATCAGCTGTGTGCCCTTGGCCGAGTGACTTCACCTCTCTGAACCTGAATTTCATCATCTGTCAAATGGGAATAGTAATACTCTCTGCCTCACGGAGACATGAAATTATCTGCACGTGCCCGGCAAACAGAACTGGTCAGTGTCCTGGTCCACTGTCTTCCACCAAGGTCCACTGTATCCCACCCACCATCCTGCTCTGAGCCTCGCCCATGTCGAAAGTGTGGGCGGGGCTCAGAGCAGCAGCTACAGAGCCTGCCCCCAAATTCCAGACAACATCCACCTCTCAGCCTAGGCAGAGGGCCTGCTCCGAGGGGCTGCAATACTTGCAACAAGGAGCACATGAGGACAGAAGCCACAGCAGCCCCTGGCTCGGGGCCCCTGGTGGCTCAGAAGAGATGAAACGGTGGGACCAGAGATCGGACCACTGGAGGCTGGGCCTTTCTCGCTCTCTTGTGAACGGCCTCAACCACAAGTCCTTCACCATCTTACGAGGCTTTTACCAAATGTCCAGCCCACTGTGGGGAACAGTCACACATGTGTGACCACAAAGACGAACGTGCTGGCATTGCAGATGAGGAAGTGTTTCGTGATACAAATGTGCAGAGAATTGTGTGGTTTCTTTGAGAAGCCCAAAGGGCAGTTTCTTCCTCTATAGGAAAAGCTAACTACATAGTGGCTGAATAGGGACTCTGAGTCAGACGGACCTGGGTGCAAATGCTGACTTTTCCCCTGAATGGGACTGAGACTTTAGGCACGTTCCGTCCCTTCTCTGAGCCTCGGTTCCTGCGTGTGTAAAATGGAGGACTGGTCCCTTGCAGAATGAGAGGAGCGGGAGAGCCCCTGCCTGTCGTGACGCTGCATTCTATGTGCTGATGAGCGACAGTATCCTTGCCGAGTGCTGGCTGAGTGGGATCCAGAGAGCTAGGGTCCTCAGATCTGCTACCACCTCCATGGGAACTCAGAAAATATTTTCATCAGAAATAAGGATTCTCAAAAAAATACTCTTGCTGCTACCGTCCTCAGAGTTAATTAAGTGCGGCGGTGAAAGCCTTGCTGTTTGGGCTATTTATGTCATGAAAAGATCTTCTAAAAATAATGCCCAGCTGTGCAGCTTATGCGGCCGGGCGGCTGAGCCAGCTTGAGCAGCAGTAGGTGACCAGGAGCCGTGACCCTGGCAGCCACATGGTGGTTGACAACTAAATGATGCTTCTCATATTCAAGTTGCAAAACCGCTGCAGGCGAGAGCCTGGGAGAAGCTTCGTTTATGTCACATGGCCATTAGCTTGCTTCTGAGCCGACTGGAGTCCTGCACACTCCCAGGTCCCAGGAGACTGCCGTGCTGGCGGCTCTCTGGAAACCCGGGATCGGCTTCCGCGCAAGGGTCCAGGACTCGAGGAGGGCCTTAGCTTAATTTGAAATCCACTGGAATTGTAGCATGTCACCACTAGGCGGGAATCTCTGAGAGGCATTCTGTGCGCAGCCACTGTATTGAAGTGATGCTCGCAGTGGGGCAGCAGGAAGGAAGGGAAGGGCTGAAAACCACCCAAATACCCGTGATGGAGGGTAGCCAGCCCCACCCCACCCCACGGGCTGTTATGCAGCCATTAGAAAGACTTCGTAAGCCCTGTAACCAGCTGACCTGGAGGTGGGTCCCCACGTGCTGCCGAATAAGAAAAGTAAGGTTTGGAGCAGGTGGCTGGGGTGTGGTGAGCCCACTATGGCAGCAGTAAGTCTGGCCCTCTGCCTGGCTTTCTGCAGCCCGGGAACGAAGGATGGCTTTTACATTTTTCAACAGCTTAGAAATAGTTTTAAAGAGTTGGAGGAAGCCTAAAGAGGAATATTTTGCGACACATGAAAATTATGTGAAATTCTACAATAATTTCAGTGTCCATAGTAAAGTCTTCTTGGAGGGAGGCCGCGCTCACCCATGTGCACGGTCTGTGTACGTGCTTTTCGCTTCACAATGCCAGAGCGGAGGAGCTGTACAGAGACCGTGCAGGATGCAAAGCAGAAAATATTTACACCCGGCCCTTTCTTGAAAAGTCTGTCGGCCCCTCGTTTAGAGTACGATGACGTTTTATAAAACAACAGTGTCAGGCACTGTTCTCGGTGCTTTATCCGAGTAAATTCACTACGTTTGCTTATGTATTCGTTCATTTTATCACGTATTCCTCAGAGTCTTAATGCCTACCTACGGGCGGGGCCCGGCGTGGGGAACCAGCACTCAACAAGCACACGCAGCCCGTGCTTGTGGAGCTTGGAGGCTGTGTCTAGATCTTTTCTCCTCCAGTATAAACAGGCCCAGCCCCTCCCACCATCTCTCACAGGGAGACATGGTGCCCCAGCCCCTCGTGTCCTCCTCGCGCTGCTTATCCTGATTGCCTCAGGCCCTCCCCAGGAGAGCCACCCAGACTGGCCCGATGCCTCTGGTGTCTCGCAGGGAGGTGGAGGTCTAATCTTGAATGGGTCATGCTCTTGGTCTGCTTTCAAAGTGCTCAACGCCTGGCCTTTGCGTTTTCAGCTCCCGCTCTAATCCTGAGAGGAAGATGCAGCCGTCCTTGACCTGTCACGTGGATGGGAGCAGCCCTTAGCTATGGAGAAGGATGTGGCCATGTCACCACATGATCCCTCCCGCATAAAACCAAAGCCACCTCCAGACACATGCCCCGGTGGCTCAGTCGCTAGGCAAAACCTGGAGAGTGGAGACCTGCTCCAACCCAGGAGGATGCCAGCTGGGCAGGGGGCAATCTGAGGACTGTTCTTTGAACCGCCAACTTGCCCTCTTCTCCATTCACACCTCCTAGGAGCCTGCTTTCTTCATTTCTAGAGAAACAGCACTGAGTCACTCGGTCACCGTCGCCTCCCCACATCTGGATGCTTTCCCTTGGCTTGTTGGGCAGCCTGGAGCCCAGGGGTCCACATCATTGACACCCTGGGGAGCTGGAAGAGCAGCAGCCAGGTGGACAGAGGAAGGAGCCCTGGGGTCCCAGGATGGCGTCCAACGACACGGCCTCTTGTCTGGGCTCTGCTGCACTGAAGGTCACAGTGAGCGTGGTGCTCACGGCTCTTATCCTCGTCACCATCGCCGGCAACGTGGTTGTCTGCCTGGCCGTGGGCCTGAACCGCCGGCTCCGCAGCCTGACCAACTGCTTCATCGTGTCCCTGGCCATCACCGACCTGCTCCTGGGCCTCCTGGTGCTGCCCTTCTCGGCCTTCTACCAGCTATCCTGCAGGTGGAGCTTCGGCAAGGTCTTCTGCAACATCTACACCAGCCTGGACGTGATGCTCTGCACAGCCTCCATCCTCAACCTCTTTATGATCAGCCTGGACCGATACTGCGCCGTCATGGACCCCCTGCGCTACCCTATGCTGGTCACCCCGGCCCGAGTCGCCATCTCCCTGGTCTTAATTTGGGTTATCTCCATCACCCTGTCCTTCCTGTCTATCCACCTGGGGTGGAACAGCAGGAGCGAGACCAGCACCGTCAACCACACCGTCCTGCACTGCAAAGTCCAGGTCAACCTGGCGTACGGCTTGGTGGACGGGCTGGTCACCTTCTACCTGCCTCTGCTGGTCATGTGCGTCACCTACTACCGCATTTTCAAGATTGCCCGGGACCAGGCCAGGAGGGTCCACCTCGTCAGCTCCTGGAAGGCGGCCACCTTCCGCGAGCACAAAGCCACCGTGACGTTGGCTGCTGTGATGGGGGCCTTCATCGTCTGCTGGTTCCCCTACTTCACCGTGTTTGTCTACCGGGGGCTGAGAGGGGATGACAGTGTCAACAAGACCTTCGAGGCCGTCGTGCTATGGCTGGGCTACGCCAACTCGGCCCTGAACCCCATCCTGTATGCCGCATTGAACAGAGACTTCCGCCTGGCATACCAGCAGCTTTTCTGCTGCAGGCCCGCCAGCCACTACGCCCGGGAAACTTCTGTGATGTCCAACAGCTCTCGGCTCTCCAGGACTCAAAGCCGAGAAGCCAGGCGGCAGGAAGAGAAGTCCCTGAAGCTCCAGGTGTGGAGTGGGAGAGAGGGCACAGCGCCCCGGGGAGCCACCGACAGGTAAGTGCGCTGGCCGTGTGGGCAGGACGGGTGCACGGGGAGGGGTCTCGCCCACAGTGACCATGAAGGTGACGGCTGCTTACCAGGTGCTGGCGTTCTTTGTGAGCACTTTGCAGACTTCGTGTTGTGCCATCGTCCCAACAGCCCTCCCAAGGTGGAACCTTTACCCTCCATTTTAAAAGGACCACAACCTGGCCAGGGTCCCACAGTTGGGACCTGGACAGAGGACCCCCAACTGTAGAACTTGTGGGCCCTCTTGTCCAGCTCCATTGTCCTTAGAATCAGGAGTCCTAAGTGTGAGGCCCAACTGTGCCACTTAGCTAGTGGCCCTAAGTGTTCACCTAAACCCTGTGGGATAGACCCTCAGACGGCCATGGGCTAAGGCTGCCTGCTGAGGTTACATGAGAAACCCAGCTTGTCCATCGAGCACCATTGTGCATCAGCTCTGATGCTGGGGGTGCTCAAAGCAGAGGAGAAAGGACTGGCCATGTCGGGGAGGCGGGGCCTCGAAGGCCAGGCTAGGGGCGCGGACATTGTACCGTAGGTCTTCAGGGAAGGTGGAAGGATTTGAAGCAAGGTGGGGTTAACCCAGGCAGCTCTGTGCTTTGGAAAGAGGACCCTGTTGCTCCTTCTTGTTGGACGAGAAGGATGAGATGGGGATATCAGTGAAGGGCTCGGTGGCACTGGTCCATGAGAGAGGAGAGACTAGAGCAAAATCTAGGAGTCTATGAAAAAACAGGCTCAGGAACCACCGGCTATTTGTGGTGTCAGAGATTCAAGAGAGAGGACACCCCAGGATTCAACTTGAAGGGGTATCCAAGCTAAAAATAGAGACAGGATCAGGGTGAGATTTGGGCAAATCCACTGGTGACGAAGCCAATGCAGGGTACGAGATGGGCAACTGCACCAAAGACTGAATGGCACTGAGGACGCTCAGCGCCCGCGTGGAGGGGACGTGTGCGGGTCTGTGCTCTGCTGAGAGGAGCGAATGACAGGACGCTGGTGGAACCCCTGGCCTGCAGGTGTGCTCAGCAAGCGTCACTTTCCTTTCTCCCATGACCGTGCCTTTGCCCCCAGAATGCTGGTCTGTGTGACTGACCCATTCATTCATTCATTCATTCATTCACTCATTCATTCGTTCGTTTGTTCACATTTATCAGCTTCCCACCACATGCCGGGTGCCGTGCTGAGCACGGACGATTGTAGAAATGACATCTTTGGCATTCGTTGTGATGAACGGTTATGGGACGTCAGCTTTATAGACCTGGCCTCAGCTCTGCCCTCACTCTGAGCTTGAGCAAGTCCCTGCCTTTCTTGGGCCTCAGCGTCCTCATCTCCAGGGTGTGGGGTCTGTCCTCATGCAGCCTGCCCTGCTCACCAACCAGGGTTGCCTGAAGCGTCCGTGAGCTAAGGGATGCCAACAGGCTCTGCAAGCCCCGTGGTCCAGGTTCGCTCTCCAGCATTGAGTGTCAACCTCAAGAAAAGCTTGGCAGCACACCACAGACCCCCCCCCCGGGGTTCTGGTCTCTGTGGGGCGCTGTGGGGGACAACTGTCCAGCTAGAGCCCTGGGCCTCATGTGCCCTCTGGTCCCAGCAGCAGCCAGGTGTGTCGCCTCACAGACCCGGATCTCAGGCGCCTCCACGGCTGCCCTTCTGAACAAGCCTTGCTGCTCTGCATCCAGCCTCCTCCTGGCCTCCTGGCCTCTAGACTCTCCCTCTCAAATCCACCCTCCCAGCCACCGCAGGCGCCCCTCCACGTGCAGATCAGAGACCTCAGGTCCGGCCTGTGGGTAAGATGTCCATCATGCTCTTTCGCACGCCCTCGCTCAGGAAGCAGCCTTGACTGCAAAGCCGATTTAGGTTACGAAGCAAACAAAGAACAAAGCAGGGGGTGTGGATGCTCTAGAAGCCAGCCACCACCACCCAGTCTGGTCACGCACGCCACTTCCTACTGCTCTTACCTGCGTGACCTCCGCATGAATAGGCTGCTCCACCCCTAATCTTTAGGGAAGTATTCCCTAAGCACTTCACAACAGCTAACACTCAGAGCACCACTAGCGGCCAGCTGCACACTTCTGCCATTGCTCTATGTGTCAATCCTTGTATGAGGACGTCCTATCCCCACTCCTGTGCCAATGCAAAGGGGGCAAAGGGAGATAAAGCACGCCGCCACCCACAGCCCCTGTAGGGTCTAGTTGAGGAGCGACTGGCAATGGTTCAGTGCTGCACGTGCTGAGGTTAGTAGGCAGTGTGCTGAGGCTGTGCACGCCCCGGGGAGCCCATCCCAAGAAGCCAACCTGCAAGCTCAGCCTTGAATGTAGACGGGAGGACCCTGTCATCCAGGGTACTGCTGGACCGTTCAGGCTCGTGGCCTCATTTCGCTCTCCGCACAGCCACAGGAAGTAGGTGCTTATTTAGCCTCCACTCTACAGATGGGAAAACTGAGGCTAAGAGATGTTAAGTAAATTGCCCAGGTGACACAAGCTAGCGAGTCAGCCAAAGCCAAGATCTGAGCATCAACAGAAGTAGCAGCCCCCACTCCTGACTGTCCTGTGGGCGTGGGCACACTGCAGGGTGTCGGCACCCACCTGCTCTTTGGATCCTCACGGCCACACTGGGTCGGGGGCTATGAAGACACTGAGCGATGCCAGCTGAGAGGCCGTGCCTGCCTGGGTCACACACAGCAGCCTCGGCGCATGCAGTTCCTTATGGTCACACCTTGCTCTGACCTCCAGCAGTGGAGGGGGGGGCGGGGTTTGGCAGATGGGGGTGGGGAACCAGTTGGAGGGGCACCTAGTGGTGAGGGCACAGGGGATGCAGGATGCCAAGGTCAGCCAGAGGTGGATTTTCCCATGGAGGCTGCCAGGGGATCGGGGCCCCATGTGGCCCTCCCGTAAGGTCGGCTCCCAGCCTCCCTAAGGCCCGACAGCCTGTCTGGGGACAAAAACCAGCGTTGACCTGACTGAGAGCCCTTATCGCTGCTGAGGGGGTGGGGTGTCTGCCTGAGCTGAGAGTTCCAAGGGATTGATCAGGGCCTGCCCTTGGGGTGGCCGGCACGGTCAGCCAGCGGGAGACCCCCAGAGAGACAGGCCCAGCTGGCCTGCCCTCCCCTCCCAGCAGCCACCTCCCCAGCAGAACGCTGTCTGCCCCTTCCTGACCCCGCCCCTCATCACCTCTGTCCCGGAAAGCCTCACCTGCCTCCTCTCTGATCCCCAGCCCCCAGCCTCTCCTGCCGCCCTACCTCCCTGCTCAGTAACGTGAGCTTCTCCTGGATAGAGGCCTGTGTTCCTTTCAAGGGCTGCTGTAACTACTGACCATGAACCTGATGACTGAAAACAATGCAAATGTATTCAGGAGGTCAGGAGTCAGATCAAGGTACTGGCAGGGCTGGGTCCTTCTGGAGGCTTCTGAGCAAAGCCCTTCTCCAGCTTCTGGGGCCACCCACACTCCTGGGCCCAGCCCCCCCTTCCCCCCAATCACCCTGACCGCTTGCCTCAGTCGCAATATCTCCTTCTCTTCTGTCGCCAAATCTCGCTCTGCCTTCTTATAACAAGGGCGCTTGTGCTTACAGTTAGGCCTGGCGGGGACAACCAGGATAACCTCCCCCTCCCAGATCCCTTAACTTAATCACAGCTGCAAAGTCCTTTTTGCCACACAAGGTAACATTCTCGGGTTCTGGTGAGGAGGCCGTGGACGTCTCGGGGGGCTGTGTCCAGCTACCACATGTCCCAGCTCTTGCGCCTGGCATTAGAGCCCTTCATCATTTGCTACCTGACCACCTCTTGCCACCACCGCCTTCTGTCCCCACCCAAACGAGCCACCCAGAGTCCTTCCCAAGCGCTGAGGATTTGCTACACTCCTGCACTGTCTGGGGCACAGCACTGAGCAAGCAGAGGCCGTCCTCTCTGAAGGATGTTATTTCAGGGCAGGGGTTCTCAAATTGTGGGTCCCTGGCCAAAAGCAGGCTTCCAGAAGCAAAGTACCCCAAATCAGGCCACACAGCCTCGTCCATGGCACAGCTAGGATTCAAACCCATGGCACAGCTAGGAGCCCATCTGACTCCAAAACCCTGCTCCTTCCACGATGAAATGCTGCCTAGACTTGAATTTAGCCCGGACTCATAGGTACCAGATGGGGAAACTAAGGCTCAGGGAGGCAAGCGGCCTGAGGCCCACGGCCAGCTCGGGAGGAGCTGGGAGGAGACCCTGCATGTCTGGACCCCTGCCTGGAGTTCTTTGGTCCTTCTCCCACCCACTCACTGGCCCTGGGAAATCTCCCACGGCAGGGAGACAACATTCACAAACACCTAGAACACCCAGTCTCCCTGCGCGGGTTCTCCCTCATCCCCACAGGGCCCCGTGCCTGCCTGCGGAAGACCTCGGGAGGAGAGGGCAAAGGGAGGCGAGGGGTCCCCCACCCCTCCCGCCAGCTCTCCCCTCACAGGCCTCTTGCCAGCACCCTGCCTGACCCCTCCATCTGCTCTCCTTGCCTCTGCAGCCAGAGCATTTCCAAACCCAGACGGGGTTATACGTCATCCCTCCTGGTGTGACTGGAATAGAATACGAAGTTCTTACCCCAGACACCAAGGCCCTGCGCCCCATGCACCCCACCCTCAGCCCAGGCCATCTCTCAGCCCTCCTGCCACACCCAACAGTTTACTGTCTGCTCCCCCAGACCATGAGCGCCCTGAGGGCAGACCCATATCTGCGATGTTTGCTGTTGTACCCCTAACACCCAACACTGTGTCTGGCACGCGACAGGCCCGGCATATTTGTTGAATGAACGAATGAGTGAAGAATGAATACCTTGTTCTAGGTCCCCGAGAGCCCTGAGAAGTGAATATTACTGTCCCCACCTTACAGGCCAGAAAGCCATGTCTCACATGGGAGTTCCAGGAACCTAGTGGGAACTCAGAAATACCTGGTTCCCTTTTCTAAACCGGACGTCACAACAGGCCTCCCTCCAAACGCTGGTGTCAGGGGCAGGCCTCACAGCCAAAT